TTGGCCTGGTGTGGTCCGCGCGCCCTTCACGTGCAGGTGTCTGCTAGGATCACGCCTAGGTCTGGGAAAAGGAGGACCTCACCCGCGCGGTCCGCAGCAAGAACTAAACCCGCTTCGGGATTGGGATTTCTTGCTGCACCTCCTTTACGAAGGCCGGGAAACCCTAATCTGAAGACTGGCCTAGAGTCGCAGCTCAGGACCCCGCTGTGGCCGAGCCCAGAGCGGGTCTGGGGAAGCGCGCTGCCGGTTTCCAGTCCCCTCCCCCACTGCGGGAGGCGGACTTCGACCGGCCTCTGGCTTTCTTACCCCGGCTTCCCCGGCCCTTCCCCCTCACTAATTCACAAAATCCCCATAGAGGTCGGAAAGATCAGACCACAGCGCCGGACACAAAGGGTCGAGGGTTCCTGGGAGCCGCGGGTATTCACAGCCGTGAGAGGGGTCCCGGCGCTGCCCGAGGTCCCCTTCCCTGCGGGGACAATGCCGCGGCCCAGCCTCCCTGGGCACAAAGCGCGCCGGCTGCGAGAGAGGGATTAATGTCCCCAACGACGCCCGCGTCCATCCAAGAATCTCTGGAGTTCCACAGCTCACACCTCGGCCTGCGCTACCGCACCACCGCCGCGGCCCTCTCGGGAGCCCAAAAGGGTGTGCTTGGCTGGGGGCGGGTGGGCACTCCATCCTACGTTGGTGGAAAGAGTTTCCATCTCCCTCCTCCGTACAACCTTCCCTTCCTCGCACGTTCAGTGGCGCCCTAAGATCTGGGGACTCGGGATGCTGGGAAGGGCTAGTCTGAGAGCACTTGACACGCCGCGAGGTTCACTCCAGCGGTGAGGCTCCCGGTACCCGGGGGAACCCGAGGTGGCCCACGGTCTGCGGACTTCCGGTCGGTAATTAACCCAGAGCCGAGGTGCGCGCAGGGTTGGGGACTAGGGGCAAGACCCGGGACAGCAGAGTTGCCCCTCCTGGTCCCCAGGAGCCCAGGTGCAACCCTGGGCTCCTGGGGACCCTCCGCGCCGAGTTGGCCGCCCTGCCCTCAGGGCTGCCAGGAGCGCACAGCGGGGTCTACCCGTACAGGGCACTGGCGACGGTGACAGCGACTCCTCCGCCCCCAGCCGTCCTGCCTGATGCGCTGAGGGCTCAGCATAACGGGGACGCAAAAGTGTGGGAGTCCCTCGCTCTAAAAGTGCGACCGAGATTTTAACCTCTAGATCTGTGTCTGCTCGGCTGCCAGGGGCTTCTCTAACCACGAAGCGGCCGGCGTTCTGAACCACTCTGGCGTGAGGGAGAAGGAGACGAGTCCCCGGTTTAAACAGCTCTGAGCCAGAAGTTTCTCTCCCTGGCGGGCGCGCGGCCGCCTCTCCTGGGGGAGGAGGAGAAGCGCAGGTTCCCCTGGGGGAGGAGAGTGGTTCCTCCGCGGTGATTCTCCGCCGGGCTGGCAGCCAGAGGACCCTCCACTCTCACCGACCGCCCAACCCGCCTCTTGAACGCCCCTCGGCGGAGGCCCGCTCGGCCCCCTCACTCGTCGCCCGCTGGGAAGCATGCTCCTGAACTTGGGTGAGGGAGGCCAAGAATGAGCCGGGAGGGAAATGCCCCAAGAAGCCTCCTCTCTAAACTGGCTGCTCATTCTGTCCTCCGTCCATCCTCCTTTCCCACACGCCTCCCCACCTCCACACCCGCACCACCCCTTATTCCCGTCGCCGTTTCCTGGAGGACCTGAACTGCCGGGAGTGGCCAGATAAGCGAAAGACCGAGGAAAGCTCTCAGAGAGAAGTCTGGCAGGCCACGGTCCCCGCCTCCAGGGCAGTCTCCGCGAGGCGCAGGCCTGGGACAGCTGCCACCCCCTCCCGATCTGTGCGCTCAGGGAGACCTGCTTCCGCGTGCTCCCCTCAGATAGACTCTCTAGACTCACTTGGGAATGACCTCGGACTTGGATCTATCCCGCCGACCCAGCTCTGGCAGATGTCCTGCGGCAAGTCAGTTACCCCTGGACTGGGCAGGGCGCCCTGTACCCATCCAAGTCCCTCAAGAGCACCCTCCGCCCTTTCAGGGCTCAGTTTCGGTGCTCTACCATCTTCACGCCTGAGGATGCCCTGGGGAAGGTGCGGGGTGTCCCTCCTCTATTTCTCCTCCACTGCAGCTCCTCTCCCGGACCCCCAGGGTCCACCCGACCGCCCCACCCATTGCCCGAGCTGGATCCCGGTGTCCCAGGTTACCTGCAGCTGGGCGGGCTCCAGGCGCGGGAGCCGGAGGAGATGGGGATGTGCGCCTGGCCGAGCGGCCTCGGAGCGCAGCGGCCGCTGGCGACCGCGGCGCCATCATCACTGTCAGCTGCTTCCCTGCGCTGGAGCCACAAACAAGAGGGGCCATTCTGCTTCTGACCACAAACTTCTCGGGCGGCCGGTGGAGACAAAGGTGCCGAGAGTCGCGGCTCCAGCGGCGGCAGCGGCGCAGCGGCAACCGCTTGGAGCCCGCGGGCGCACGCATTTCTGCGCTGCTTCTCCGCCAGGTTCGGCGTGCTCCGCCCCGGCCCGGCCCCCGGGCTAGGCGCGCGGGACCCGGACGTCGCGCCAGTGGGCGCAGGGCCGGGCTCAGGACGGTCCCCGCAGGGCGGCCGGCCGCGCGCGCAGCTCAAACCAGCGCGTCCGCCGCGCCCCGCCTTATATCCGGCCCGGCGCGCACCCGGCCGGCGGCGGCGCGGCTCGCGGCCCAGCCACCGGTTGCTATAGCGATGCCCCCCCCCACGTGTTGCTGACAGCAATTGGCTAAGGGGCCGCGGCTCTCCATACACCCTCTCCCGCCCGAGACTATGAATGGACATTAGCTTTGTCAGTCATTGGTACAGCGCCGCAGTCGGGCCTTCGCTGGTTCTTTCTTTGGGTCTTTCTTTCATCGTTGAGTCGCACTTCAACCTGAGCAAGTTCAGGGTAGCATTGGGGGTGGGGCTGAGGCGGGGGAGAGGGGCCTCCACTAGAAAAGTCAACTCGCATGGCCCTACTGTGACCTTTGCCTGTGGAAGGAGAGGGGAGGACTAAACTCTTTGCAAGAGAAAAAATAATGGTAAATCATTCTTTCTAATTAGTTATTCCAATTTTGCCTTTTAACTCCCTTTCAAAATTGAGACATGCCAATTATGCAGGAAAGCCCCTCTCCCCCAGTTTAGGTGTAACTCTCCAGATTTTAGATGTCAGGTGCGCGTAGAAAGCTCACGAAGGGATCTGAGACTCCAGGGGAACAGAGGGCCACCAGCCCCAAACGCTGGACAGAGACCGTGTGAAACCCAGAAATCAGAACTGCGTCCTAACCTCCTTCTCCGAAACCCAGTCAATGGCCCAACCTGGACTACCGCCCCGCGTCCACAGGGCTCCCAGTCGCTGGATCCTAACCAAGTTCTGACCCCCTAGCGCCGGCCGGGGACATGAGCGGTCTTGGGAGCTGCCCCCAGCACTATAATCGCCGCCCAAGGCCCCTTCGCCAAAGCGTCGCGTTCCCCTGGCCCTTCCCTCCCCCACCCCTGACCTCCCTCTCCAAGCCCTGGACCCAGCCACAGGTTGAGTACCCCTGGTGCGCGGCGCCCCCGCGGAGCGGCGGAGAGCGGGAGAGCTGAAACCCAACATCTGTGCGTACAATGCGCTCTCCGAGGCCCACAGCTGCAGAAACAAGGGGAAGAAAGGAAGGAGCGGGGGAGCAGATCCTGTCACACGCAGATGACAGTCTGCGGAGGGCTCTTTAGTTTCTCCTTTTCTGGAAACCCCGGAGCCCCCCTCCCCGTTCCCTCTCCCGCCGCCTCCCCATTGTTCCCGGCGCTCCGGACAGCTGGAGACGACGGCCGGCACCACCCCGCGCCCCTCCCGCCGCACACCCGGCCAACTCCCGGGCCCCCACCCCAGGCAGGGTCGGGCGGGGCTTCCACCGCCTCACCTCCCCCCTTCCACTGCCCCAGACCTGCCCGCGCCCAGGGCCTGGCCTTCTCTCTCCTGGAAACCGAGTTCCATCCAGCCGAGGGACCAGCCGGGGCAGGGTTCCCAGAGAGGAGTCGTCGAGAGACCCGAGTCCAGTCCTGCCAAGTGCATGCCTCTCTGTAACGCGTCCCAAGGACTCGGCTTCCTCTGGCTGCAGGCCTAAGCAGAGTTCTACTTTTATTTCTGTATTTACAGGGACTGGGAGTGCGCGCCTCGCAGAGTTCCAGGGCACGAGGTGGCGGCCCAACCTGCTACAGTCCCTGTAGGCCTCAGTGGGCCGAAGGACGTCCGGTGGCCTGCAGGAGGTTGGGTAGGGGTGGAGAAACACCAGGGGAAAATGAGTTTCCACGGAGGCCAACGCGAGAGAAGCTTCTCTCAGTCCTCTGCCCGTTAGTTCCATCCCCATCCAGTTGGCAGGGAGGGGCAAGTCACCTGTATTCTTTCAGGTCCCCGTGCAGAGGACAGACCCCGCAGACTCCATGGTAAACCGGCTCCAGGCGCGGCGGCCGACCCTCAGCGGTTATCTGGCCTTTTTGAGGATGGCGAGCGGGCGGGAGAGAAGCGGTCCCCACTGTAGCCCGGCGGCCCACACCCCGCGCTTGCAGGGGTCGGCGCTCTGAGGTATCTCCTCGGGCGGGCACTGGTGGCGCCGGCTCCTGTTCCTCCCTGCCACCATCCTCACGTTCCAGCCGGCCTGGGTGCCCGTGCCCGGCGTCTTTAGCCAACCTCCAAGTCGACCCCTGGCTCGGGGCAGAGAAAAAGGAGGGGAGGAGAGGTGGCGCACGGACAGGGAGCATGGAGGAGGCCCTGGAGCCCAGGCGGGAAGAGAGGGAAGACGGCGGAGAGAGGGAACTGGGAGGGGAGGGAGGCCCGGAGGAGGGGACCTGCCGCCCTCAGCCTTGCTGGCAACCGCTCTCTCCATAGCAACGGCCTGTGCGCGCGCGCGCGCTGAGAGCGTGTGTGTGTGTGTGTGTGTGTGTGTGTGTGTGTGTGTGTGTGTGTGTGTGTGTGTGTGTGTGTGCGTGCGCGCGTGTGTACGCGCGCGCGCGCGAGCGCGTGCTGGTAGCGGCAAGACTCCTGCTCCTCCCTGGCCTGGGGGTGGGGTGGTGGTGGAAGCGGGTCGCTGGGGGCGGGAGTCAGAGAAGCCCCTTCCCAGGATGTAAAGCCTGGCTTCCAAGGTGCTGCGGGCACCCTGGAGGTTAGAGCACCGACTCCCGACCCTTGGGGTGGGGACGCGCCGGGGTCTGACCTCGGCCTCAGGGGGACCAGGTCTTCGTCGCCCAGGCTCTCCTGCAGCAGTCAGGGAGCCCCAGGACTTGGGGAATGGCACCGAGCGGAGCACAGGGGCCTGGTGGCGGCTGCGGCCGCACCTCGCTCCAGGCCCTGTGGCACCGGGGGTGGGGGCGTCGCGGTTCCGCGCACCTGCGTCTGGGCGGGAGCGCGGGGCCGGCTGGGAGGTGGTCGCAGGCCTGGGCGACTGCTGGGAGGTGGTCGCGGCTCCGCAAGCTGGGGGCCGGTTCCCGCCGAGCGGAAGCAGCTCAGAGGCTCCCGGAGGGCCCGGCCTCCCTCCGCGCGGGCCGTCTCCCCGCCCGCTTCACTCGCTCCTCTCGCCCTCCATCCTGCGAGCCACAACCCGGAGTGGGATGCCGTCGGCCCCGCGGTGTCAAGCCCCAGCCTCTCACGCGGCCACCTCAGCTAGGACGGCGTGAGGAGCCCAGAGTGACCCAAGGGTCCTGGGGCGACCCAGAGCAGGCTGGAGCTCGGGTCAGGGCGCGCGGCTCCAGACCAGATGGCCACTCTGCTTCTCCAAGCCTGACCTGGCGTGACAAAGTAAGTACAGACGTTGATTTACTCAGCCAGGTTTCCGGGAGTCCAAAGGGTTCCACCTGCGACACCAAAGCGCCACACTCCGATTCAGCCCAAGACCTACCCGCCTCCGCGGGCTGTGAGGAAGGATGGGTGAGGGGCGGCGGGGCCTACAAGGTGGGTTTTGGTCACTTTTACTAGTGAGATGGTCCTTACAGGCGTCCTACGGGTGAAGAGCTCGGGTTCTAACCCGCACCCTGTGCGCCCCCTCGCCGCGCCCGCCGTGGGAGGCGGGGACCTGTGCGTGCAGCCCGGACTCCCGCCCGGCGCCGCCCGACCGCGCTCTCCGCGGGCCACCTCCGGGGGAAGCCAAACCCGCTGCCCCGCGTCGGGAAAGGATGTGGGTGCGGACCCTCGGCTCGCTGCTAGAAAGGACGCGCTACCCCGCCCGGCTCCCAGCCCTCTGGTTCGAATGCCTTCCTCATTTCCGGTGCAGGAGAAGTGATATCTTCTAATTCTTGGAAAACTTTAGGAAAGTTTCCCTACAGTCATGACTCAGCTGTCGTGAAGAAGGAAGGACATGTTTGTTTTTTCCTGCCCCTCTGGATCATGAGGGCTTAGAGTTTTTGATAAAGAATTTCAATTTAAAGAATTTCAATAACATCAGAAAAATGTTAAATATAGCAAAGTATTTGTGAGACATTGGTTGACGTTCTTACACATGACAAGAGTGTATCACTCATGCAGAAGTTCAGGTTGCTGGACTGATGAATAAAAAAATACAGTATATGTAAAATTTCCAAGACGAATGAAATCCTAAACAATTGAAAGTAGTTTAAAATGATTTGTTGATCCCTACTAGTCCTTAAAGTGTATCTCACATTTGTCACGTGGAAAACCTAATGTGCTGTGATAAGAATCTCATTTTCAATTTAGGAGCAACTAAATGATTAGAGTAAATCTTCAATGTGCTGAATTATCAAAGAAAATGTATTTTAAAACAAAATAGAAAAAGACTGTCATGGGAAACACAATCATTATAAAACAAAACAATTATTTTAAGAATTTAAATGGTTATGGTAAAGTAGAAAATGATAAAAACAAACTTTCACATACTTGGATTTCAGAAAAATCTAAACTAATTTTGCTTTTAAAGTAGAATGTTGATTTATAATAATAGTTCTCAAACACTATCTGAAATGCTTTTGATCTAGATTCATTTGTAAAACTGACTTAGAGTGCCTGTGCGTTGCTTCTCCTACTTCCACTTGAGAGACTGACCCTCTGGGACACCAGGGAATGAGGAGAGAGGGGACACTCGCCCAAGTCCATACGGAAGACTACAACTGGGAGAGCCTAGGAGAAGTCCTGGCCCAACATGAAGGGAACAATCCAGGGCTGCAGGAAGCAATTGTGGGTACAGCCTCCCCCCTCCCTGGCCGGCTGAGGGGCCAAGCCATTCCTGAGATTTTGTTAGCAAGCCCAAGATATCAGACCAATGCCCTCACTTTAAAATCAAGGGGAACTGAAAAACTCAGATACTTTACTATTCCAAGAAAAATATGAATTCTTCATTCAAAACAGAAAAATGTAAGCCATTTTTTTTGTTTTGAAATTAATTTCCAGCACAACTCAGCTTTTATTATTAGCTCTCATGTTGACTCATATTCTGATTGATTTGAAACTTTTGGAATAAGAAATGAGGAGTTCTTATGAAATAGAGTGGCTGTCGCCCAGTGGCTTCGCATGCTGACGTGAAGCCTGTCTTTAAAAACCAAAAATGTGTTTCAGTAAAGATTTATGGTTGATTGGATGGTTATCAAATATGTGGGGATTTTTAGACTTTCTTTGTCAAACTTTGAAATTATAATTTAAATAACTAGAAAATCCTCCAGGGTTTGTTACTACCATTACAACTTCTATCCATTAATACTCATGTTCAAAAAGGCTGCTGCTCGTGAGGACAGGTATTTGCAAACAGAGCAGTCTCCCTGGAGGTTCGTCTGGTTTCACTCCCAAGATTCCAGAGTCTACAGATGAATTACTTTCAATCTGCCACTCTGTAAAGATCTGACCTTTATTATTTACAAAATAATGCTATGAAATACATATTTAATGGCTGGCATTCAGGGTAGTGTATATATTGTCTGTTCGTGACAAGATCTTATTCCTCTTTGCAAAATTGAGCTCAGATTCCTCTGACGGGACATTGTCAGAAAGAGTCATTGCCACATAAACAGGAATCTTGCTCTTCTGAAAATGGCCAAGTAGTGCCGTGGACTCCAGGTGGTCACTGTTGTTGTGGTTAAAGCGCTTTCACTTTGTCAGTTACATGCTACAGGGCCGTTGCAATTGTTTGGAAACAGCCTTTTCCTTGAAAGGCTTTGGAATTAAGAGTGGAGCAACCATCCAGGTAAATGTTTCACGATTATATGACCCAGTAATGCCCGGCTCACATGCTCTTTAGGGGAAATGCCTGTGTATGAAACTAGGCTCCAATTAAGTGAAAGGAGAGCCACAGGGAGACGGCTCACCTTCTACCTGGCTTCCACTAAAGAGGAATTGCTGTGCAGTGAGTGGCATTCCCTGGTGTTATCAAACAGGTTTACAGGCATTCAGATCTGAAGTGGACGAACATTCAGGGGACGGCCCCCTGCCTTAGGTCCTGACACAATGTAGAGAAGGCTCAAGGCTTAGCCATCATTTTGAAAAATTTAGCATTCAGAATTCCATACAAATTCACCCATAGCACCAAATGGCTAATGGGATGAAAGGTAGTTGGATCTCCTCTAGATATACCAGGTGTGCCCAGGTGTGTTAGCACCTGGGTTCAGCGCTAGCTGAAAACGAAAGTAGCATGCATGGGACTGCTTTAAAATTTTTACAAACTTAACAGATAAATATCTACATCTCTATATCCTCATACCTGTCCATTCAAACCCTTTAGGAAGTCACACATTTACTTTTACGTGCAGATTTTATTTCATTTCTGGAATTCCCATTTGGAGTTGTCTTCAGAGATATGCTCAGAACCAGGGATCTCCCTTTGCCGACCACTCTCCCTGCTGATTCACTGCACCACCCACTGAGTACCCCAGCTTCTCTGTCTCACCAAGGACTTCCACGTGTTTATAAAAAAAAAAAAACAAAAGAAACCCATCAAGAAACATCACTGCTACCATCCTAGGAGGCTACCTCAGCAGGTCAGTGCCCAGCTGTGGTGGGCAGCATGGGCATGGGGGAGGAGGGGTGCCGGGGAGGTGGAGGCTCCCAGCCACCGAACCCTTGCTGTTGCTCTGCAGGGTTTCCCAGCTCCGTGGGCCCTGACCTCCCTGTCTTGACTGTCCAGCCTTGAGGCTTTCTTGTCTTTTGTCCCCCCATCAGCCCTGGTCACCCCTCATTGCTAGTCCCTCCCGTGTGAGGGTGGCTGTCCAGAAGTCCTGGGCCTGCACAGCATCCCATGCACCCTCAGCTCTGCCCTCGGTCCACCTGCCTGGCTTCCTAGTCCTTTTTATGAACCCACCATCCCCTTCGGGGCTCATCCACCAGCCGGGGGCAAAGCACACGCAGTGGTGCCCCAGAACATCCTTGCCTGGGGGATCCCAGGGCAGGCACTGTTGGCAGAAGGGGCCCCACAGCCGCTCAGCGCTTCCCTCCCATCAGGAGTGCTGGCCAGTGGGACTGTGGAGCCCAGCACGGAATCACATTGGAGTGCTACAAATGGTCCTCATTTCACAAATAAGCACAGCCTCCCACCCGCTGTGGCCTTACCTGCTGTGACTTCAGATATCCACTGTCAACTGTGACCCAAGAATATTAAACAGAAAAGTCCTAAGTTTTAAATTATGTACTGATCTGGTTAGCATGATGAGATTCTTGTGCTGTCCAGCCTGTCCTGCCCTGGACATGAGTCATGCCCTGTCCAGTGTATCCATGCTGTATACACTGCCCACACAATAGTCACTTATCAGCCGTCTCAGTTATCAGATCAACTGCCATGTGTCCTACAGATGACGGGAGACAGGGTTCCAGAGCGCTGTGGAAGCGTGCTCCCTCAGGACCAGCCACAGCACTGTGTGCACGCAGCCCTCACCTCCCTGGCCATGTGCTCTGCCCATGTGCTCTGCGCTGGTGCCCAGTCCTGGAGGTGGGGAAGACCCACAGCTGCCTCCTCCCAGCACAGTTGCCCATCCAGCCAGGTGTGAGACGGGGTTGGCCTCGCCCGAGTCACCTTGTCGATGGCACTTCCTTTCTCTGGGCCATGTGTCTGAGTGCAGTAGAGACCCTGAGAGCAATGTCCCCATGGGGTTAGGGTTCCTCTGAGGCTGGAAGTCTGCCACTCCCAGAGCACAGCTGGGCTGTGGTCAGCTGGCTGGCTAGTGGGGTGTGATTCTTGTAACACTTCAGTTTAGAAAGTTTCTGCTCCCACCCACGTTCCTGGGTGGCGCTGGGAAGGGCTGGGAAGGGTCAGACTCCAGTCCTGCCCTCGGTCAACAGTGTGACCTGAAGTGAGCAGCTCAGTCTGAACAAGATGGTGCTTCCTCGGGGGCTTGTGGAATCCCGGAGGATCTGGGGACAGAGCCTCTGCTACCTATGCTCTCTGCATCTGTGCTCTGCCCTCATCTCCATGGAAGCGATGTGTTCAGACAAACGCTCCGGGTAAGGGGTGTGCACGAGGCTGAGCTGCTGGGGAGCTGCCTGGCACCTTCCGCTGTCCGCCCCTCCTTCTCTCCTCCGGGGCTCAGGGAGGGCAGTGCTGCCCTGAGTGTCTGCGTTTCATCACCTTCTGGGGGAGCAGGCGAGAGCGGCGGAGTCCTTGCGTTTAGCACAGGACTGGTGACTCTAAACACCCAGAGAACCCTGAACCCTCGGTGTGTCCTGCAACCTTCTTCCCCGGGAAACCCTCACACAACACCACTGGGCCGTGGGATCTCCCCCCACACACAAGGGCTGGGCCGCGCAGGCAAGCACGCTGTCCCTCAGACCCTGCGTACTCCGTGAGGGGACCTGCCAACTCCTCAATTCACATACGGAGCTGCAGGTGACGTGCCGCAGGCCCACGGAGGGGACTCTGACCACTGTTGCCACGTGGACCTGCACTGAGTGCCCAGGACAGGCAGCCCAGGGCACAGGGGAGAACAGGACACATCTGCTGGGGCCAGAGGTTGTAAGCAGCCTAGGGTGTGTGTGCTGTCCCTCACACACTTGCACATGCACACACACACGCCCTGCATACGCCAGGTGCACACACACACACGCTCTGCATATGCCACATGCACACACACACACACACCCTGTATACACCAAGTGCACACACACACACACACACACACCCTGCATACACTAGGTGCATACACACACACGCCCTGCATATGCCAGGTGCACACACGCACACATGCCCTGCATAGGCCACGTGCACACACACACATGCCCTGCATAGCCACGTACACACACACACACACACACACACACACACACTGCATACATCAGGTGCACACACACACGCCCTGCATATGCCACATGCACACACACACACGCCCTGCATATGCCAGATGTATACACACACACCCTGCATACATCAGGTGCACACACACATACCCTGCATATGCCAGGTGCACACAAACACACACCCTGCATACACCAGGTTCACACACATTAATGCCCTGCATACACCAGGTGCACACACACACACGCCCTGCACACACCCTCAACATGCTGCCCCAGCAGGCCAGAGCTGCACTCTAGTGACTTCTCCCTGGTGACTGTGGCTCATCTGGAGCTCGTGTCTATGGAGTGTCACTCAGCCAGGCTGTTGGCACAACCAGGACTCTGCCAGGGCAGAGCAGATTCTCTCTGCAACTTGTAAACGAAGGGAACAGCATGGGACTTTGTACCAGTGATTTTTAGTCTCAAAAGCAAAATCCTGCTGGAGCTCGTCTGATCCCAGCAAAGTCCTGAAAGTGCAGTGAGAAGCTCTTCCCTGGAAGCCAGCACTTTTGCCCGAGGGCAGCACGACCAGTGCCTCCCGCAGTGGGGAGGCCACAGCCTGTGGGAGGTGACACCTGTGGCTGTGGGGGGGCAGCCTTGCCCTTGGTGGGCACCGTCCCTCAGACAGCCTGGCCCCTGTGCTCACCTCTTAAACTCACACTCTGCTTCTAAGCCGAGTTTTTGGCTTGTCCTTGCTGCCCGCAGGGCTGCAACAGGTGCCGTCTGCATTCCAAAGTCACCAGCCCTGGGCCTCTGGGGTCACCTGAGACTTGCAGCTGTCCAGTGACCCCACAAGGGCCTGGGGCTGGCCCCTTATGGGCTCCAGTGGTGCCAGGGGCCATGGCTCGGGGCTGACACTGGGAGTGCTACCGCTCTGTCCCCAGAAGCCGCCCTCAGCCCACCTCCCAAGTGCCCACAGAAGCATGGTCAGGGGCTCTTAAGTGACCCCTGCTCTAAGTTCAGGTCCCGGTGACGTGGCCTATGATCCGTGGTTCTCCTGGGCGACCAGAGCTCACGAGCCCCAGGTGCCGACAGTCAGCAGAGGCGCGGGCTCCTTTACCCTGTGCACCAGAATCAGCAATAGCCCAGTAGGCTTGGCAGAAGTCCCCACTGCCACCGACCTGGCCACACACCGGGTTTGATGGGGACTGTCTGAGCATGGACACCCTCAGAGTGATGAGAAGCCCCTGGGTCTGGACACTTGGACCTGGCTGTGCTCACGGCAGAAGAGTGGGCTTGGGAGGAGTGCCGGCCGCTTCCTCTGTGGTGGAGGGTGCCCAGGGCAGCAGGGCAGGATCTCTTGGAAGTCACCTCTCCTCCCTGCACCCACAGGACTGGGGCACTATCCCCAGGAACCATGATGCCCTCGTCTGTCTCACTCTGTGAATGAGCCGTCTGATTTTATTTCCAACAAAATCACAGCGATGATTTTGACCTCTGAGGTCCTTCTCTGCAAGTTACCAGGGCGTGTGAGCTGCGTGAGGCAGAAGGAAGGATGAGAGCCACCTCTGCTGTGCGTGGAGACCCCAACCCCTCAGAGATACAAGGGATGAAGGGTGTTTCATTTACCTCACTTGGCCCTCAGCAGGGTTCAGTGAGATGCCGGAGGGGGGCCCGTGCAGGCTGTGGGGCTGGGGA